AAAGATGTTATTGTCCTTCTTCCTACGGGATTTGGCGCATTACATGAGTTACAACTTAGGGCTGTCGTGGTTAGGGAATTTCTCCTGCGGTAAAGCGGCTCAACACTGTGGTATGTGATGATATCAAACCCCCGTCCTCCACCCCTCCTGCCGTGGAGTTATAATATTTCCAGCGGCTCTGAAAACTCTCTGATGATGCGCTTGTTGTTGCAGACGCACATGTACGTTGGTTGTTGTGTGGATATAGTGTGTGTAGTGGGAGAAGTAACATTTGGCTTTGGAACAAGTGCCGCTGCATCATATCCGCGTGTACATGATCAAATGTCGTATCCCGGTTTCTTGACATAATCTTACAAATGCGCAAGCACAAAAATTAACTTAAATCAATTTCATAAACCAGGAAAAATACAAACCGTGAGCTCCTTTAGCATAAGAAGCTAAGGAGCTACGAGATCTCCCACAATCCACTGTGCAGATTCTTCATTAAAATCTTCTGCATAAATAAACTCAACTTTACAACATATAAACCATAAACACTATAGACACATCAGCCCGTTTGATCAGATAATTCAGCTGTGATCACATTTGTTTACGTTTTACAGAAACGAAACTTAAGACCGTTTGGCTAATTAGCATAAACTGTTAGCGGTGATAAAAACAGCTGCTCCTTGTGCCGCTGATGCGATCAGTTTCTTTTAGACTAAATGACACGACTCTGTGGATTATGTTTGTTCTTTTTGTGACAGAAGAGGCGCTAATGATGGTGAATCTGTTCTGTGTGTGTGTTGTATAGGAGATAGTTCATGTTTTAGCTTTTCAGTGATCACACGAGTGCAGATTGTACGTGTGCAGGTTTAGCGCAGCTCTTAATTTTACAGTCATTTCACTCGTTTGGTCACTTTATTTATGTTGGTCAATTTATTTATGTGTCACTACTGTTGTGGTGAAAGGCTGGAAAGTGTCTTTTGGATGCATGCGCACTCAACTTTATGTTGCAGTAACCGGGGTACTGCGTGTACATGCCACAAGTAACCCGGTTACTATCGGAATAAACCAGCTACAGTAACACGGTTTCTAATAACCGGGATACTGCCATAACCGGGTTACTGAAACCGGGTTACTGCGTTTACATGCACCATCAAGAAACCGGGATACTCAAAAAACCCGATCATAACCGGGTTATTGATGTGCATGTATACGCACTCACTGCGCCAGGTCGGGTCAGAGTCCCGCACCAGGTCAGGTACCCGCGGACTTAAGAGAGAGAACCCCGAGCACGAGCACGCAGAGCAGGTGTCCACACAGCGCGATCGGGTGATGGCCGCGTTTACCTCCATGCGACGCGGAACTGTGCCGGTCCTTTCGCCTGCAGTCACCAGATGGTCTAGTCCAGGGTTAGTCCTTAGTCCTTAGTCCTGGGTTAGTTAGTTAGTCCTGGGTTAGTTAGTCCTGGGTTAGTCCTGGGTTAGTTAGTCCTGGGTTAGTCCTGGTTAGTCCTGGGTTAGTCCTGGGTTAGTCCTGGGTTAGTCCTGGGTTAGTCCTGGGTTAGTTAGTCCTAGTTAGTTAGTCCTGTTAGTTAGTCCTGAGTTAGTCCTGGGTTAGTCCTGGGTTAGTCCTGTTAGTTAGTTAGTCCTGAGTTAGTCCTAGTTAGTCCTGGGTTAGTCCTGTCCTGGTTAGTTAGTCCTGGGTTAGTCCTGGGTTAGTTAGTTAGTCCTGGGTTAGTCCTGAGTTAGTCCTGGGTTAGTCCTGGGTTAGTCCTGGGTTAGTCCTGGGTTAGTCCTGGGTTAGTCCTGGGTTAGTCCTGAGTTAGTCCTGGGTTAGTCCTGGGTTAGTTAGTCCTGGGTTAGTCCTGAGTTAGTCCTCCTGAGTTAGTCCTAGTTAGTTAGTTAGTCCTGGGTTAGTCCTGGGTTAGTCCTGGGTTAGTCCTGGGTTAGTCCTGGTTAGTTAGTTAGTCCTGAGTTAGTCCTAGTTAGTTAGTCCTGGGTTAGTCCTGGGTTAGTCCTGGGTTAGTCCTGGGTTAGTCCTGGTTAGTCCTGTTAGTCCTGGGTTAGTCCTGGGTTAGTCCTGGGTTATCACGGACGCTAACTGGTGGAATGTTAAAGGGTCCGGGCGGGTGCGGGTCTTTAAAAATGGACCCGTGCAGGACTCTGGGTCGAGTCACGTTGGTCATGTGCGGTGATCGCGGTGGCCCAACATGCTCCTCTTTGTACCGCGGTGATTCATTTTTGCGGTTATTGCGACAGCCCCAGTCACGACCAAACAGCAGCGATTGGTTAAATGAGCCGAACGAATCCTAACATGAAGTGAAACTGTCTGATGAATCAGGACTCTTGCTTCCTGACCTCGACATTACATCTGTAGTCAACTGCTGCTGGGTAACAGGTCGGGGGTAATTGACGACCAATTTGGGATCAAATCTGAGGTCGGAATGTGGGAACATAGGACCTAATTCTGGAAACCTGGTTTAGACTTAGTTTAGTCCTGGTTTTAGACCTGGTTT